TTAGACTACGTACCGGACACGATTACTTGGCAAAACACCTTCACAGATTGGGAGTATACACTCAACCCACATGCCCTCTATGTAACCTACATGAGGAAATGGAGAAGACCCACCTGATTCGGTGTCCAACTCTAAAGACAAGGACGGAAAGCCAAAGATACTGGGAAGCAAGAAGACTGCTAATGAACTGCTATTAATTAACTGCTATAAATGTACCCCCCCCCCCTCTTGGGGGAAGCTGAAGTCAAAGATTAAGGGCTAATGATAAATATCTTAAAGCCTGCCATTTGAAATAAATAAATAAATATATATATCGAGTCACCAGCTTTGTGAAAGAAAACGATTGCATGTCAATCACGATTGTGCATAAAATGTTGAATTATTGGTAAAAAATGGAATTTTTATGGAGAAATATGGAAACTCAATGGATCTTAGCATGAAATGACACTGTATTATTAATGATGAACGCAACATTGGCACGAAGCTTTTAAGTTGGTTCACACAAAATCACAAAATTGGATCGAAATGAGATGAAGAAAAAGCACAAGCGACACCATAAAAACAAAAAAAAACAAAACAGAGTGTAAAAAAATCAAATGCCGAGGTAATAAAATCGCAATCTTGAATTTATCTTTCGTGTCATTAAAGGTACACTGAATTGATACAGTGATGGAGAGCACCCAATTTAGGAACAATGTAATTGAGATCATTAAAAATCAATACAAATTTAGAAAATGTGCGAATTATGCAAATGGAAGAAAAATTTGGTCAAAAATTTCTTACAACTGTTAATGAAACTAAGGGCAACCTTCCTAGTATTTGTCATGTATCAAGACATAAGGGGGGGAGGGAGAGAGAAATGGAACATAGGTCAAATTTAAACAAACCCAATGAGAAATTGATGTGTCTGAGAGGAAAGATTCAATTCCACTTATTTCAATCACAAAATGACAGCATATTTCTTATTGACAAGCAAACGCCTCGGTTGACATTTCTATCTTCAATAAGAGGTTAAAAAATTACTTCATTTATGCTTTCAAAGCAAGATGTTATTTTTATTTTAAATTAATAAATGAAATGCCAATATAAATTATTCATTTTACCAAAAGACCACAGACATGTTGACGCAGTTCGAGAGATAAAATCAGATTTTGATTGCGGGGCTGTACAAGTTGAGCTATGCGAAATAACAATAAAAAACAAGCCAAAAAAATATATTATTTTATTTTAGCTGAACCGCTGTCAAGCAATTCATATGGAAAAGTGGGTTTTTGTTTTGCCCTTAAACGATTGAACAAAATAAGTAGATCAAATAGAACTAGAACCCCTGAAAGAAGACACTGTTCAATACGCTTCATTTATTAGCCAAAAAATCGAAATATTCATTATAAAGTATGTTGTTAAGTAATCGATAAACTGGTAGACGAATGTTGTTTTTTCTAATTAAGACAAATTATGAAGTATTCATAAATATCACATTAACCAGGCATTTAAAACGCCTTCAAGATAAACCCAGAAATTTTCTATTGCACATTAGAATCGACAATTTGGCCCTTTGGGTCTTAACGATGCATTTAGTTAAAATTGAGAGAAGTATAAACTACTCATGGGGCATTTAAAAATAAACTCTCTTTCAAGGATTTATCAATCGGAAGAATGCTCTAAAAGACATCGAGTTGTTGGCAAAATACGAGGGTTTGCACATCAACTCATCGAGAATAAAGTTTACAGAAAACTACAGAATTACAGGTTGGAACTAGGCCGAACAGTCTGCAAATTCAAATGTCATAATTTATGCACAACAAAAACCAAATTTGTTTACGAAACATCAATTAGATCGATTTTTACGGCTTGAAGTTGCAAATAAAACAACTAAAATAGTAGGAATTGCAAAAAACTTGGAAGTCAAACATTCGAGTTGTAAAGTGGGCCTGCACATTTGATTAATAAGCCAAGAAGGACATTTTCTATTCCCTAAATCTTCAAATAACTATAATTCCAATCATGTGTTTAGAAAGGGGAAGTTTATTCTCATCTACTTTAAATCAAAGCAGACAGACAGGCGTTATGCGACCACTTAAAGTGAAGATTATCTACACTGATGCAAATAGACAAAGGGTAAATCTTTTTTTATGCAGACAGATGGCAAATAAAGTACATTTGCTACCATGGGAGAAGAATCCTATTCTTGCAGTAAACAAGACGCAAAAACAAAAATCAATAAATCTTAAGAAGAGGGAAGCTAAAAATTAATGATTGTGATTGGCAGCATCTCTATTGGGAAGTTACTCCAGAGTCAGCCTATTACCAACCTTGAAAAAAATTGTCATTAATGAATACAATTCCTGATTATTTTCAGGATATTTTGAAATCTGCCTAAATTAAAATTTTTAGGCGCAATACGAAGCAACTGATAAAAAATTTCCTGTTTAATTTAAATAAATTCTCTCTCACAGCTGTAAACCACTATGATATAATTAACTCTGTCTCGTTCTCTAATGGCCTAAGATAATAGAATTTAAGATGAAAATATCATAAACCGTGAAAAGACGTCCTAAAAGGGTCATAATTGCGGAAAATTTGAGGAAATGTCGAATCAACTATAGAAATAGGCAATCTTAAGAAATAACTGCCAAGAATGCCGCAAAATCAATAATCTGATCTCTTGGAGATAGAAAGTTGGGCAAAAGCGAATTAGACCCTTACAAACTAATCCATCTTAAACGAAATTGGGTCAAAGGGAGAATGAACACATTATGTGACATTAAAAGAGGCCTAAAAGCGCGGATTTATTAACTAAAATCAAGTCGGTAAGTGACTCTTAAAATACTATTGGGTTCCAATGCCTACTTATAATGAGAACTTACCTGGTGAATCGGAGGTACCAGCCCGTTGAAGATGGGAAGTGGATGAACTTTGACCTTGTTGATGGTGGTGATGATGATGAAGTTGACGAACATCTTCCCCGCGAGGAAGGGAAGTATGGGTTTTGAAACGACTATCACCTCCCAGAGCCTAAAGAAACATAAAAGAGATTTTTTTCAAGACGAATTCAAGGTGTGTAAGTATTATAGAAAAAAAGGAAGGTTTGAGATATCGGCTGTTCAATCTGTGTGTCCGAATAAATGCTGCGCTCAATCCACTGATAAAGCCAAAATTTCTCAATCACAATAAAGCAAATTTATTGAAACCATGAATGTAAACATGCATTTATCGGTAACTTCTTTTCAAAGGACGTTACTCATACAGAAGATTCGAAACATCCCTATTTAAACACCTGTGGGACCAAGAGTTTCTCAAAACCGAATTGATAAATTAATTTTCATAATCAAGCTTCGATCTTACTTTCCAGTTTGCCCCCACATCAGGATATGATCATTACAGCCTTCTTTATATATATAGGTGTGTGCGATAGACTTACCTCCACGTGGTGCATCCTGGGCAACGAATACTCATACGGCAAAAAGTCTATTAATCGGCAGTTGACTTCTGACTTCAAACTACCATGACCCCCCTCGTTGTCATATTCGGCCCCTTCAACAGTACTCATCTTACCTTTTTCTCTACCTTTGTGTCTGTCTGCCTCTTACATCTGTGAATCGCTCTTCTGTTAACCACCCCTCGAATTTCTGCTACTTTGATGAACCTTCCCTCTGTGAAGCCCGAAGTCAGCTAAATGGCTAATGATATCTATCAGAACGCCTGCCATGTGAAATATATATATATATATCTTCTACTATCATCTTTTAAATAGGATACAAAATAACCACATTTTCAACTCAAAAGATATCCATTATTTGTTTAACATCATTCTAAATTGATACAGGTTGGTTGCCTAGTTGCCAAAATAGGATGACGCTTTAAAGCATATCTTTTTTGTTATATTTTCAATTGATGACGATGGTGACGTGAAAATAGTTACAATGAAATTGATTATTTCTGGCATTTCAAAAAACATTAACCATTGTTTCCTCAAACAATTGCAAATTAGTACTCTCAATAGGCAACTTAGGTAATTTTTACGAATTCCGACGTGAAGTTTATGAAGGCGTCAAAACTGAACACAGAAACACTAAATTTTGTGGTTTCTGGATGTTAAATCAACCACATATCACGATTACTACAAGATCTCTCACTGCGGAAACCTTCCAACTCTCCCCCCCCCCCTTCTATTTAGTCTAGAACCTCCTTGACTAAGCTCAATTAGCATTCGATTTAACTCATTTTATTAGTGTAAACAATTTCTTTCTTCCCTCGTATGACGGCATTTATTGAGTCTGGTTTATTGGTCTAGACAGCGTAGTACTTAGATAAACTAAACCCAGACGGAAAGTCAAATTTCAGACATTTAGCTCGAGATCAATAAATATCACATTTTGATCCGAGTAAATTGCTAATTATGCGGGAGTATATTTAATAGGAGTAAGTCGATGCATGTTTTGCATACTTCATCACTTAAAATGTGGAGTGAATAAGAGACAGTTCACTGTTAGGAAATTGACATGTTCAGTAGCAAGTTCAAAGAATAAGAGCTTGAATATACCCCCCCAAAGCAATGAAAATCAACCGATACTTGGTAAAAATTTTGCCCTATAACTGTGACTACACAGACACACACACAAATCCGACTCAACAGTGATTCAGATTTAGGAATGGGCGTTTATGTGGTCAAAATTTGGAGGTGAGCAAAATGAGAGAACAAAAGGTTTTCCAACCGGAAAAAGGACAGAAAGTAGGAAGAAAATCGTAGTTAGGCGCATCCCCTGATAGGATAGAAAATGTTTTAACCAGGTTGACAGTGCACATAATGTTAATTATTTAAGCTTATAGGTTAGAGTTTGTAAAGCTCGTCAAAAAACACAACCACAATAGAACAATTTACATATCCTAACGATTTCACAAACTTGTCACCCAAAGTGTGGTGTATTTATGTTTCGAAAAAAAAGAAACTAAAAGAGGAAGCAGATCTATTTTGCTGAGACATCAAACATCTAGTTCTTCAACAGCAATACAGCAGACAGCAGTATATGCTGGAAAACACGTCGGTTAGTTAAATTTTGGAGATAAATATGTCGTTTTTGTGCACAATAACAATGCAGCAGACAATCTGATATGATTGTGCCCACCACAAGTAATTGAAAGTTTCAGCGTCTGCCACGCGACTTGCAGTCAATAAAACGGGCTCAAACCGTCTGCTTCATCTCCGAAGGGGGAAAAAATTTGCAAATATTAAAATAAAATAACATAAAATAGCATATGGCCTGGCTCCCCAAATGGCCAAAATCACATTAATCGAGTTATGAAAGATGAATTTCCTCAAACTTTCATGGTTTTTGGATGTGTCCTTCTACGCGTGTGTGACTTGATGTTATCCTCTGCATATTTACTTTTCGCCAGAGGTGCTACGCTCAAAGCCAAGTGCCTAGATGGAATGGCTGACAGCTGTAGGCCTGATAAGGCCTGGATAACAAACGAGGGAAGCAAATGTAGGTCATATAAAAACATATATATCTATAGCAGCAAACTCCAATCCCTTGTCATATCTTGCAGAAAATTCAGGGATGCTTGTCTGTCATTTTCTCGTCACTACATCAACTTGACAATTTATTTCAAAATGGGAACTTTTATGAGGGTGAAAGAGTATTCCAATTAGTAGTTATGGGTAATTGCGACTTTTCATCACTCTAATTATTTATAGTCCATTATGGGTAAAGATCTAATCGATAATTTTCATACTACTGAAACAATGCACAAAACAAAGTTGGAAATGGGTTCAATATAGAGTGTTATTGATTTATACCAAATTGACAGGTTATTAATAACGTAAGGGAATTGAACGCACTTGATGGCTTTAAACATAGAATTGATTTCACTGTCTACTTCATTCCCACAACAAAAGTTTTTCGAGTGGACTTTATTTAATTAGTCATTTAAATCCTTTAATTGATTAACCACTTCAAAAATAAGTGCGCTTTGTCGCTTTGATCCAAAAAAATCTACTTTACTTTTTTTTACCGGAAAATATACTTAATTTACGATTCACTAATCTGTATCTTCTATTGTGTACCTCTTATAGGCATTATTCTAATTCACTTATTTTAGGGAAATTTTTATTTCGCTTATTATAATATGCGTAGGCTCACCAAATCTAGTAACCACTGTGAAATCAATTGGCTAGAAAACAAGAGTTAAAAATGGACTTTTATAAAAAAAAGATAAAAAGATTTATTTTTTTTTATTGTTTTCTTTAATGGCGCGCAGATAGCAGTAAATTCATTTTCATAATTACTAGCGCGATGGCGGCTTGTTTGAATTTACAGTGCACCTTGTCCTTGAGAGCGGATGTATGGGCGTTGGGGTTTACAAGAATCAAAAGGTTACTCTTTTTTTTCCACCATGTAGGTGGCCAATTGGCAACGACAGGATGGTAGATTGCACAATAATTAACTAAGTCCGCATTCAATATTCAATTCGAGGGAAATAATTGGTCATTTGGGGAAAAGTGAGGCATTTTTTCCATTTATAAATGCTAAGGACTTTACTGTTTATAGAATAGTAACTGAGGATTCAAGGCGTCCACTCCTAAATGGAATATACTTTTCTCTTAATAAAGTCTGCATTTCGAAATGGAGTGTCAAAGTGATGCTGTGATAAAAAATGGTAGATAATTAACCCTGACTTTAACTTAAGATATGCAATGGGACTACCAAGGCCTTAAGAATTACAATTGTCAGCCATTACATCAAGATTCCTTTACCAACGTTAAGGAGAACAATGCGCGCAAGCCATAATCTCTTTACACAGATGGTTCAGGCAATTTAGGTTAATACAGGCTATTCTCTAAGACGAATCAAATGAGTTCGAGTCATTCATCCTCATTGCCGTACAAAAATGGACTATCAAAACCTTAAATAAAGCCTATTGTGCACAAAAGCTCTATCACTTCTGTAAAAAATACAAATAAAACCCAATCTGCTAGATTTATTGCAAGAACCCCTAGAATGCATTTATTTTCACTGACAAAAGTGTGCGATAGACTTACCTCCACGTTGTGCATGCTGGGCAATGTATACTCATACGGCAAAAAAGTCTATAAACCGGCAGTTGACTTCTGACCTCAAATTACAATCACACCACTGTATGTCATATTCGACTACTTCCACATTACTCATCTCACCTTTTTTCTACCTTTGTGTCTGTCTCTTTTACATCTTTGAAACACTCGCCCGCCCACCCCCCGTCTCGACTTTTTTCACTTTGATGTACCTTCCCTCTGTGAAGCCCGAGGCCAACTGAATGGTTGAAGTCATTATCAAAACGTCTGCCATTTGATATAAGTAATAAGTAAATTTCCATCGACAGCTAACGGCTGTTTACTGTATGAAGCTCTATTGCAAATTTCCCTCCTTATAATATATAAATTCGGAATTTACGGTAAAGATAAATTTCAACTTCCAATAGTTTATGTACCATAACAATATTAGATAGCGTTGATTTGCCTCAAATTTGACCACAAGAGGTCACTTGAGACGCCATTGACACTAAGTCTAGAATGCAACTCAAAAACGGTTATTCTCTGAATTTTACATACGATCAAATCCATAAATTAAAATGACTGAAATGAGAATAAATAAATTAATTTTCTAATTGAAACAGCACGGTTGATTTTTTATTTGTCGGAGAAAAGAATTTAACGAGGAAATTCAAAAGCTTGATAGATATGAAATATGCCATTTTTAACTCCACGTTAACGGAAGCTATGTTTTTTTTTTAATTTTTTGATCGATTCAGAACAATGCAAATTAACTTAATTAAAACTAGGTATGATAAACTAAGAACTGTAACAAAGGAGTGAACATGAATACATTTTTGCAGAAAGTTTATGACTACGACGAATTAACAGGCAAATTAAATGATAAAATAACCTCGAAGGAAATAGCTGCCTTGTTTAAATTTCATTAACTTTCCCTAGCGGTACAAAGTGATGAAAAAACACAAAAACACAATTATTTCCATAGCTAGGATTAATTTAGAATCTAATTAAAAAATAAATTTCCGAAATGGTAGAATTTCGTGTATTATTATTATTATTACCGTAAACAAATTGCCCATATGATTTAGTGAGAGGGACATGGATGCGGCTAAATGTCTTTTTTTTAAAAATAATTATGCAATTAGTAGCGAAAGAAAGAAAATATAAATTATTGTAAATTTTAAGAATTGACTAACTTAACTAACTATTTTAGGTTGGACAGACCAGTTAGAAAACAAATGTTCGAGATTTAATTACTTAGGAGTAATTAGAAAAAATACAATCAAGAAAGAGGCAAATGAGAAACAGCCTTAAATTCCGGGTGCAATCGAATATTTTTTCAATAATAAAAGAAAAAAGGCTCTAGACTGATTTTTTATTTGAAATTCAAATTTCTCAAACATTTTCTCCACTTTTAGCAGGCCATATACGATGGCAAACATCACAGTGGTATGAGAATGAGAAGAAACATTACAAATTCTGAGATTTCTGCACTCAAGTTTTGAAAACTGTCTTATCCTACGTAATTATCGAAACGATATGATGGCGGATGGCTATTTCCAGACAAAATAGATTTTTTCAAAAAAAAATAATTACAATATTCTCACATCCCAAGATAATGCTTAAAAAGATTCACCCCTGCAAAGGAAATATTCTATTCGCAATAAATAAATAATTTATTTTATTTAATCAACGAATAAATCATTCAAAAAAATATATTTTTTACGAAGTAAACGGAATGACGGAAGAGAACTTCCTCGTATCAAGTTGACATTCTATACATGGTTAAAGATAAGGAAATTGAAGTTAACTCGTGAGAAAGAGCAGCTTATCATACTTTGATGGGAAACGAATCTGTCACCTAATTTGCGCTCTAAAAATTATCATTTGATGTAGAGAAGAGAAATAATATTATATAAAATTAAATTTGCTCGATAATGTGACCAGAATAAAAAGTTGTGACTAAGTTCTTGGGGAGTGGAAGGAAATATTCCAGTGTATTCAAAGGAAGAAGCGTAATTTTGCCTGGCGTATTTGTATGATCTTTGGAGAAACAAGATACAAAGCAAAATGAATTCACATGAATCGAATCTTTTCCAAGTTTTTTTCATTTATCGAAAGTTTTCGCATGTTAAAACCTCGTTAGAGGCTTTAGCTAATTATAACACCAATAGCTTCTCATTACAGCGCGTATTGTGCGCTCAGCAAACTTGTTGAACAGATGCTTAACGAAGTTTGCATGATTTGAGGACATATCTTCGTCCAAACGCATTTGTAAGTTATCTATAACTTATTCATTAGCCTCAATCAACGCCAACACAAACTCCACTCCCAACACCACCCCATTATCAACTCCGCTAGTCCGTTTAGAAAGTTGAGACTATTTAATTTCTGCCAACACTTTTCTTCAATTTTAAAAGTTTACAATTTCTAGATCAGCTTGACATTAATTGAGATCTCATGACGTTCATTTCCCTGCACAACAATCTAACGGCTAATTTAAGCAATTAGCATTCCAATCTCACACGTATTTACCCACTTCCCCCCCCNCCCCTCGCTCCACCCCACCCAACCCTCACCCACCCCCCCCCATCTTCTATCAAAGCAACCTCCGATTTTAGCAGAAATGAAGCTACATCCATGAAACAAGAAATTTTGAGTTCCTTTTCCTCCTCCTCCTCATCATCATCATCATTTCGTTGTTCTTTTTTTGCCGCGTTCATTTCGGAGAACAGGAGAGAACGAAAAAACATATTCTTAACTGAACCTGATTGCCTCCTACACAGTGTCTGCTTCGTTCCAGTGGTTAGATTACCTGAGTTGCACATAATCATGATTCCAAGCGGTAGATTTTATCGGAGGGTTGGGGGGGGGGAATTTATATGCCTGCTTCAACTCTATCAGCTTGCGACCGCGTTGCAGCCCAAAATTATGGCGTGTTGTCTAAATAGAGCCAAGCCAGTCCACTAGATAATGCAGGCAATTCAAGTTGCAAAATGCCTCGTTAAACGTGTCATAAAGTTAAAATTGGCATCCAGTAGGCAGAAATATCTGCACTTCATAAACTTATTAGTAAAAAGTATTGCTTAGGCAATAATAACTTATATGTGAATATTGGAGCGTTGTTTAACCATAGTGAGCTGTAGCCACTTCAGTTGTATTAAATTCAATTGAGCTACTTAAAAGCAAGTACGATCGCATTTCCCTAACTTAAGCTTTCGCTTTCAATTTCATTAATTCTAAGCATAATTTCAATTAACAAATCGTAGAGCGTAAATTTCGAAATATGAACTACACACTTGCAGCAGGGGTGGGGGAATTTCCAAAATCTGCAGGTATGCAGTGAATAATGAAAAGATAAAGAGAGAATAACGATAATCATTAAATTAATAATTTAATAAAATTAGTATTATTATTAAAAAAAGCATCGCCATACCCCACTTGTGAGACGGCGGAACGTGCTGGCAAGTTTTGTGGAGCGTGAAGAGTTGTTTGAAGAGGCTGGTCGCTTGGTCTAAAAGAATAGTGAATTCCATTATATGTGGCTTAGCCAAAAAACTCAGGTGCATTCTCAAATCCAGAACCACAATTCTAGTAAATTTTAAAACAAAAATTCTGCGCAAGACGTTAAATGCCCTCTCGATAGTAAAAAATTATTAGGTTGGCAACTAAGTCATTGCCGATTTCAAATAAGAAGGCGAATTCGGAATTTTTGTTCAAAAATATAACTTTGTTCAATTAGATATTGGCCGTTCTTGTCGATGACCTTTTCCCATCGTTCTGGCAGAGTAAAAATTCCCAGTTCGTAAAATGTCTGGTCTTTGCTATTAAAAAACTGAATTAGGTGTGATCCGACATCATCCGCGTTGTTACAAATTTGACCATTTAGAGTTTTGCATGGAACGAAACAAATGGTAATCCGAAGGCGCAAGGTCAGGGCTATATGGTGGGTGTGACAAAACATCCCAACCCAGTTCCAATAATTTTTGCCGAGTAACCAAAGATGTGTGGGGCCTTGCGTTATCATGATGGAAAACAACACCCTTCCGCCGATTTGATAATGCCGGCCGCTTATCTTCAATTCCATCCTTCAGTTTATCCAATTGTTCAACATACACATCTGAATTTATCGTTTGGTTCTGCGGCATGAGTTCAAAATACAAAATTCCTTTGTGATCCCCCCTGACTGACAGCATACTCTTTTTTGGTGAATCTGTGCTTTTCATACTGTTTGGGCTGGTTGATTTTGCTTCACCCATGATCTCTTGCGAGTAACATTGTTATAAACTATCCACTTTTCGTCGCCAGTAACTAGGCTCTTCCTCGGAAATGGATCATTCTCATTACGTTTCAGTAGCGGCGAATCACAGATGGTAATCCGTTGCGTCAAATGAATTTCCTTTAACTGGTGAGGGATCCATAAATCAAGTTTCTTGACATAACCAAGGGTTATGCCAATTTTTTTTCAATGCATGTATGCGACACATTGAGCTTCTCTGCAATATCTCGTGTTGTGCTGTGACGATTTGAATCGACGATAATGGCCTTGATATGGGTTTCATCCACTTCGACTGGGTGGCCAGATCGTTGTGAATTTTTCAGTGGAAAATCACCGGAACGAAATCTTTCAAACCAATTTCGACACTGCCTTTCTTTTAAGGCTTCATCTCCATATACGGCACATAACTTCTTTTGTGCTTGCGATGCGTTCTTGCCTTTTCGGAAGTAATACAATAAAATGTGTCGGAAGTGCACGTCCTGTTCTTTCATTTTTAACTTGGAATAAAAACAAAACTAAAGAACTAAACAAAAAAATTTTTTACTAATTAACATAGAAGCCCATTTAGTAAGAAAAAAATATAGGTTAGATGCTCTGGCCACGTTAACAAAACAAAAGAAAGTATAGAGTGAATCTGTCAACAAAAACGGCAATGACTTAGTTGCCCACCCAATAAATATTTAATAGCGGATGGGCGGCTTATTTGACGAGAACAGAGATTTAAGCAACTCCAATCAATTTAAACCTAAAAGAAGAAAAAGAATGAAAATTTCAACACTGAAAGGCCGATTCCCGTGCAAGCGAGATTGCTGAAGGGAAACTGAGAGACAAACTTTGCCGCAATGGAGTTTAATTGACAATTTTCAAGTGATTTATTCAAATAAGCGTTTGAGCTAGTTTCGATGCCCATAAAAGGTTTTATCTCAAACACAAACCTAACATGTTGAGAAGGCGAAAATCCACCGAAAATTGCAATTTTAGAATGAAAAACACAAAAAAGTTTCCAAAAATACACTAATAAGGCAAAAATAACAATAATAATTATAATTATGGTTGCCGTTGCAAATGAAATGAATGGGTGCATTTCTTGGGGAAGAATAACAAAAAAATAACATGTCGGAGGCGGCTAAAAAAAATATTATTTTGGGGCCATTTTTTGTAGAGAGCGAAGAAATTCACTAGCCAATAAGTTTCGTTTACAAATACCCAACACCTTCTATTCATGGCGATTGCTTGAATAGTTGGCTAATCAGAAGATATCACGATAGACTCACCTTCACATGGTGCACCCTAGGCAACGTATACTCATACGACAAAAGGGTCTATTATTCGGCCGTTGACTTGACTTCAAACTACCTTGACCCCACTGTATGCCAAATTCGACCAATTCAACAGTTCTCATCTTACCTTATCTCTGCATTTGTGCCCATCTGTCTCTTTACATTTGCGAATCACTCACTTCAGAACACTTCATAAATCTAATTAAATTTATAAAATCATTGCTTCGTCAAAACGCTAAATGGCAAAATACCACGTAAAGCTTCCTAATTAGAAGAAGAAAAAAATTAACTAAAGTGGCAAGAACGTCCAATTGACAACAGAGAATGGACACCATTGACAAGCACCTACTCCAATTCAATGAACAAATAGAGAAATTCGAATTTGAATTGCGCATTTAATAAAACTCCTATGACTTGAATTCTAGTGAAGTGATATTCCCCCTTTACGTTGACCTTCAACATCTTCTAAGTCCCCTTTCCACATTTCGCGCGTTAGACTTGTGGCTTCACGCAATTAAAGATTGGAATTTCCTGTATTACATTGTCAATAATTAAGTAAGTAGAAAATAAACAATAGCCAACTGTAAGAAATCATGCTTGAAAATCAACCTTCCCTCAAGGGAGATGGGGACATTGTATGAAATAAGTGGATTGAAGTACACACCAGCAGTTGAACCAGTTGAGATGCGAACTACCCAACCTACACAACCATAACGGGGATTTATTAACATGCTTCCATTTATTCACAAAGAACACAAAAACGCATTTTTTTGAAAACTACAAGACCACGACGTTCCAAGTAAGACCCCACGCACGAACCATAACTATGTGGATTGGCATCTAATGATAGAAACAAGGGTGTGCGATAGACTTAACTCCACGTGATGCACCCTGGGCAACGTATACTCATACGGCAAAACATCTACAAACCGGCAGTTGACCTCTGACTTCAAACAACCATTACCCCACAGTCATATTTGACTGCTTCCACAGTACTCATCCCACCTCTTTTTACCTTTATGTCTGTCTGCTTTACATCTTTGAAACACTCTTCTATTCCCAACTCACAACTTTTTTCACGTTGATGTTCCTTCCTCTCTATGACCCTAAGATGAGTTTCATTAATTTGAAACTACTTTGCTAAATTATCTTATAAAAGATTTATATTTGCCATTATACATATTGTGAATTTTTTATCACATATTTATTTGATAATGAGCCTTCAATTGGTAAGGTCCACGATCAAGGCTAATTTAGCTGCTTCTCTCGAGACATAAATAATTAAATAGCCAGACAAAATAATAGGGAATTCTACGTTTGGAAAGGCAAATTTAATTTTTTTCTTTTGTTTACAAAAATTTCCAAATTTTGATTTCATCACAGCTCAGGAGATTTCCCTAGAAGGAGCAACAGAAGAGACGATAGAAACAGGCATTATTTATTTGCTTGGATAAGAGAGAAATTGGAGGAAAAGTAAGCGTGACACCCACTTTACGCCTCTCCACTGCAGTTCCAACAGCAAATAAAGTCATCCTTCATTAGCAAGTCATACAAAAAAAGAAAACAAAACACACACACACAGAGAGAGGGAGGGAGAGAGAGAGAGGGGGGTGGGTGCTTTTGATGCCCTCGGCATGTACGAAATGCAGCACGAAATACGACACCAGTTGGGCTACTTTTTAAGCAAGCAACAAGGGGTGTAAGTAAGATATAATCTTGAAAGAGGGAAGTGACAAAGGGTATCTGATCATTTTCGCCTGAACTTGTAGCCAAAAAAGTATAAATTCACATCACACACACGCACACACACACACACACTTGGAGAGCAAAAAAAATTACCTTAAAAATAGTCAAGAAAGTGGTGATTTAAGCAATTGAATGGCAAATTTATTGCATTAAAACATGCGTATGCTTGCTTATTGACTTTAATGTTAATTTCGAGAAGAAAACGAAACAGACAGATTTTTTGACCACTCTAGGGGAAATTGGAAAATTCAATTTTTACTGAGAAATAGGATAAAGGGGTGTGGAATTGACTTACCTTCACGTGGAGCACCCTGGGCAACGAATACTCATACGGCAAAAAAATTCTATAACGAGGCGGTTGACTTCTCACTTCAAACTACCATAACCCCACTGGATGCCATATTCTACCACTTCCACA